GGTGACACCCAGAGCAGCAAGGGTGGCTGACTCCATTGTCGGTGACGGCCAAAAGGTGTCTGAGTTGGTAACGCATTCGTGTTAGACATAGAGGTTGCCTCCTAACTCATTTAAGTTGGTGCATTTCTCACAGTGTGAGTACCGTGAACTTTTTCTGGAGTTGTTTCTTTGGCGGTATTCTAAACTCGAGTATGTATCAACGAGGACGTCGATCTTCCCTTAGAGGGGAAAGTGTCGAGAATGTGACTTCAGGTATCGAAAGTTACTTGTCAGCCAGTCCTTACAGACACTCTTTCCTTACTGCCACAATGGTAAGAGGTCGATATTGCTAGACCTTTTATTAATCCCTTTTTTTCAAGTGTTAGTAAACTGGACTTTGCATCTGCACTTGGCCAAACGAACATAAGGAAGGAATTCTTAAGTGTCTATTTAGCCAAGCATACTTAGCCCAACTTGTTAGTTCTCTTTTGCTCTATCTTGCACTGGCTTGACAAAAACCCTCGTGTATTGAGACTAGTCCCTCAATATTGCTACATGATAGCTTACCGTGTTTGCCAAACACCCTCGTTATCATGCCCTTTGTGTTATTTCGGTCTCATTTCGGTCCCAAATGCTATTTATGGAAAGTGTCCAGATTTGCTCATTTGGCATATCTACGGAATGTAGAGATTGTCTTGAACACAATGGTGTTCGTCCTATGTCCAAATTCGCAATATAACGCCATTCCATATTTAGTAAGTTTTAAGCTTGCTCCCAGAGACTAACTCTTGATACTAAGGGAGGCTTGGGGTGAAAGCCCAAAGCGTGTGTAAGGGGGGGGGGGGGGGAGACTATCGAGGGTTCCAAATGTATAGTAGAGATAGTGGGTAGGTTAAGCATGGTTGACCAACCTGAAGCATAGTTTAGCTCCCGCTTGCGTGTTTATCCTTGTTCTACATCTGCCTTGGGTCTAAGCCTAAGTTCCATTCCATACTAGCTGGTGGAGCACCCATATCCTTGCGTTAGGCCACCGGTATGCCGAAATAGTGCCAAACTCTGTTTGGCTCCGTTTTGCGTGCTGGTCTTGGCATTGGGATGCTAGTTGCTCTAGGACTGTTCCAAGTTGCTCCGAGCTTCTATCCCTTCACTCCTTGGGTTGTATGCTCGGGAGTTGCTCTGTGGTCCGGTTTTGTCACTCCTTGGCTCCATGCTTAAGAGTTTAGCACCATTCCTTCGTTCAATGGCCTATGGCCCTTAACCTTAGTTCCACACCACTGTCCTTTGGACACGTGGCATATGACATGTGGCCTGTGTCACGTGGCATAAAGAGGGTTTAGGTTCCGCTTCATAGTGTTATCCTATGGTAAATCACCATAGGATAAAGGGTCAAAACCACGTGCACTACAGGAATGAAGTTTGTTTGATGTAAAAAACATAATCAACTACTTTAGAATTCTTTCTTTCTGAGCAAGTTTTTATTTGGATTTTTAGAGACCACATTTTTCAGCTACGTGTCATAATGTTTCTAGGCATATATAAGTAGGAAAATTGAGCACCTGTAACTTTTTTCTTTGACTCCAACTTGAGGAAGAGTTTGGACTATCACCACCATAGTAAAACATTGAAATTAAGATTAAATTTATAAATTAAATAAGGAGAAAAGAAAGAAGTAGGGTAGCTAAACCAACTAAATCTAAACAACTAAGTTTTGAGAATGATAAAATTTTGAAACTACCTTTGATTGCACAAATTTCAATGTTGAAGCTTTAAAATCACCCAACTTCAAAGGCTTACAAGATTATTAGGTTCTAGAAGATTGAGTTTATGATATGGAAAATTATTATAGTAGACATTGATGATCATATAAAAGTTGCATACATGTAATTTTTTCTCATCAATCATACTAAGACTTACTGGTGCTAGGTGTGATATAAAAGCTATACACACCGTAATAACTAAATATTTAGCTAAGTTGTTAGGATTGAGAGTTGAGCAAATATCACCTACACATTTTTAGTTTATAGAAAATAGACAAGTTGCAAAGAAATTTGTAAATAATATACCAATAAAGATATCCGAATAGAAAGACTTAGTAATGTTGAAGATACTAAAATTTTAGATGATGTTTGGTATCTTCAACAAATATATCCAAGGGATATATAATGTTGGATAGAGTTGCATTACATTAAGGTAAAATTTCTAATTGCAAAAGTGCTCCTTGAAGGATTGAGATACTAGATTTCTATCTATAAGAGTATCTCAAAGAACATCTAAGAATAGATGTTGAACTTTTTGGGTTTAAGTGATGGAAGAGAAAGTGATAGTGATTAAGTTAAAATAGGTAATAGTGTTGATTTAGTATCAAGGGAAATCATTGAATTATTAAGGAATTAGAATATCTTCTCAACAAATTACTATTAAAGTAAATATAGTGTAAAATTTACCATCTTACCTCTTAGTTGTGAAGTTGATCATCAAATTGAGTTTCCTTTGGGTTCTAAGCCACCAATAAAGGTTCCATATCATTTGAATATCAAGAAAAAGACTGAACCTAAGAAGCAACTCATAAAACTTCTTGACAAATATCATAGTAAGTCACCTTATAGGGATGGTACTATAAGGATGTACATTGATTACAAGCTCTTAGACTAAAAGTATAGTGAAAATTGTACTAAACTTCATTTAACAATGTAGGAGTTAAATATGAGGAGTTAGTGCTTATAAAGGATTTGAGAGTGTACCAAACTCTAATGCAATAGGTTTAAAATTTTGGCTCTAAATTCAAATGTATAATTTACAACAGTTATTAGTGTGGGCTTTGGTGGTTTGAAGAAGGAGTTTATATTTTTAGGAAGGCCTCATAAATTTAGTTTCATCATTTTTTACTCTACATGCTTTAAGAGACCACTTGCAAAAAGGTGACCACTCTAGAAGATTAGAGCTTAATAAGTATGATTGCTTATTTTGATAATGGAGAGGTCTATTTGAATAACTCTTTTTCTTGAAAAAAATTATAAGCCTCTTGTAGTGCACATAGTTTTCACCTATTATCCTATGGTAATTTACTATAGGATAACCATGGAGCAGAATATAGCCCTTAAACATGTGTGCAAAGGGCAATAGAGTGAAACTAAGTTTTAAAGCCTTAAGTTATTAAATTAAGGGAAAGACTTAATTATAAACTCAAATGTTTAGCGAATGAAGGAATTTGAGCATAAAGCAACTCTTAAGCATATAGCCAAAATCGAAGAAGTAAGAGCATGAAATGATATTAAAATAATCCTAGAGTATCTAGCATCCTAATGCTAAGACCAAAATGCAAAATGGAGCCAAATGAAATTTGACATTATTTTAGTATACCAATGACCTAACATAAGGATATAAATACTTCATTAGGTAGCATAATATAGAGTTTTGGGTTAAATCTAAGCCAAATGTAAAAAAAGACAAACATGTTGAATTTAATCTTCTGGGAGGTCATCTAGTCTAATATTATTTAAATTAAGGACACTTAACCCAAATATCCTAAAACCCTTAACTGATTAGAAAAAAAAAAGCACTTTTATTCATAGGCTCTTTCCTTTTATATTTAAACCCTTATAGACCGTTGTTCCCTTTTGGTTGCTTATACATACTTAACAAAGAGTTAAACTATATTCTAAATTAAACCTTCCCACTATCCCTACTATATATTTGGAACCCCTTAAATGCCTTTATATGAAAGCATGCTTTTAGCTTTCATCCTAGTCTTAGGAATTAGTCTTTAGAGTAATCACAAAAATTTACTTAATATAAAATGGTGTTAGATTGTGAATTTAGACAATTCTATAGATATGCTCAACTAGTAATTTAGATACTTTTCTATAAATAGCTTATAGGAAGTAACATATGTAGCATGATAGTAAGAGTGTATTGGTAAGCTATCATATAATGAATATTAATTCAACATTAGTAAGTGCAAGTAGTTTTTTTATCCCAGACCAAGTATGCTCAGCAAGAAACAAATGCTTACTTTATACTTATCTAGCATAAATATATAGATGATAATCAATTTCTCAACTAATTTGGGTGGAAACTAATAAAGGGAACAGATAGTACCAGGCTCGTTAATAGATAAATTTTGATATCTACAATCACATTTAAAATACCTCTACTCAAAGAACCAAATCAATAGAAACACATTAGAATATAATTGTCTTGTAGAAGTGATAATAATTCGAAAGCCTTTCCTGGCTGGCACGAAAGGTAATTAGAGCTATGCATAAATCTGATCCTCGTCTGAGGAAACAAAATAAGAACAGCAAAATAATATCATCATTTCTCACTGTTGGCTATGTCAAGAAAGTGGGAAGGAAACTCTCACCAGTGGGAGAATATCTTTGGGATCTTTTAGAAATGGCTGCACTAGAATCACTCTCTAATGTACATTCTTAATGTGCAAAAACCCATTATCCACACAGTGGAATCGTTTGCCTTTCACACATGCAAAGCCACTATTACACAGAATTACATTAGTACCTTTACTTTTAATGTTACCTACCCCACTGACTATGACTGGAGAATCAGTTTTATGCTCAGCTAAGCAAACTTAGAGTTAGGCTATGGGATGACGAGTAGATATTCTTCTATAATCGTTTCTTTCTGCCAGTCTCTGCTGATATGGCCCAACTACTCCCAAAAGCACGAAGAAAACCATCAGCAAGGCTTGGTGATCAAACACAACGCAAACCAACAATACGCTACAAACTCCGTCACTGCATTTCTCTTCAAAGAAGTTGCTCGACTTGCAAATATACAAACTCCGGTAACCTTGAGCTTCGTAGAGCCATTCTTTTCAGTCATTGTTTTGCTACTGCGCAATGTCATGGGGTGTGGCTTAACAATTGGTCCCATACTAGCGTCAGGACGGTAGATTGTGGAATGCCTCAGCTTTCAATGCACAAATATGGTATGTACCACTCATTTTCGCTTCTCATCGTTGGCTTTTACTAGCATTCGCAAAATGTGTGGAACACAAGATATCGACACCAATGGTCTATAAAATGCCCATTAATCAACAGCTTTCCACGGATACATAGAGTCCCCGGGTGTACAAAATTTCGGCCATAGTAGCAGTGACGAAAAGAATGATAGCAGCAAATTCACAGCCTTTTTACGTGAAGATGGTGATCACGTCTCTCCTGTAGCCACGGACCATTAGCAGCCTGGGAATGCCATCGACGAGGAGGTCCATGTACTCCATGTAGCAATATGAGGGATGCTTGGGAGGTGGCGGCGGCAAGCTGACCAGCACCACGGCCGCCATTCTCGAGTATCTCATGATGATTGAGTTGAGCTTGAGGCTGGTGTAGAGGAACTTGTTAACTTGCTGCTCGTTGTAAGAGTGCTGGACCTCGTCCTCGATCGACGCAGCTTTCTTCTTGAGCTCGGCAGACCTGTGAGCAATCCTCTTCCTGGCCTTGGAGAAGGCCTCCATTGCGTCCTCCCGTCCAGTGTCCACGCCACGGTCCTCCTGGTGAGCCTCCCACGACTTCATCGTCACCACAATCACCTCGGCTTGCATGCGCAGGTCATACAAGAACTTCTTCACGTCGGCCTTGAGCTCCTCCGCCTCGGTGTCCTCCTCCGAGATGCAAAAGACTTGAATCTTACAGCTCTCGAAGCTGTCCTTTGCTCGGAGGAGCTGGGAGAGGAGCAGCATGAGGCCACCGTCGCGGACGATCCAGTAGAGGTCGATGGTTCCATACTGCTTCTGGTATTCGCCCGGCCACTCGTCCAGCCCCTTGACGATCACCACGGCCTTGTTTGCGATGGAGCAGTCGTTGATAATGCTTACGAAAACATCGGAGACGCGGCCATGCTGTTCGTCCCTCCAGATCTCAGGATATCTCATGCAGACGATGTTTGGCTTGAGGTTGCCAAGTCCCATAGTCTGTACAATACCCCGGAACCCCTCGCAGACATCCTTCGCAATGATCACCTCGGCCACCCCTTCGCAGTTCTTGTAGTCGATGTAAGTTCCAAGTAATCGACACGCCTGACGTGCCTCGTCTACCTTATCTATATACTCTCCCTCCGAAATGGAAACGAATATGGACATACCGCGGCCCTTCTTCTTCATGCAGTTGGCAAAGTCGGCGAGTTTGGGATGGCATGGAACGTCTTGTGGCAAAATCCCCCAAGGCTTGCAAAATATAAGTGGAATGGGATACCAGTTTTTCGGGTGGACGTTGTTTGCTGCAGAAGTAACAATATTTTAAAGAGTTTGAAGATAGAAAAAAGCTTACCTCCTAAGGAACGAAGACTTCTTAAAGCAAGCTGAAAGTAAGCACTTTTAAAACCATCACCCCAGTCTCCTGCTTTGCCTTTCAAGCTAACGTAATAATATATGAGACTTGCCAACGCGAGTGATACAGTTGTGAAAATCCAGGATATTAAAAACATTATAACTGTAATCAAGATAAACACTGTTACAGGTAACTTCAGTAATTGGTAAAAGTATGTACCTATGCACAATAGAGCACCCAGGAGCGAAAAGCTCCAGTGATGAAATTTCCACCGAGGACGCCAGCTTGGAGCATCAAGTAAGTCGAGCAAAAGACAGGAAAGATTAACTCCCGCATAGCACAAGAGAAAGAACATGGTAATAACGGGAGAGATGAGGTCGAGATCACCAATGATGACGCAGCTTGAACATATGAACATGGTGAAAAGCGTTGCCAAATGAGGCTCGACCCCGTCTGGTGCCTTGAAATATTTCAAAACTGGGAGTATGTCGTCATTTGCAATAGCAGCTAGCAGCCTTGGCGCACCGGTTAAACTTTGAAGAGCTGCGCCAAGTGTCGAAAGGATAATGCCAACTTGAACGACTGCGGGAACAGGCCAAGCTAATGTCGCGGTCAGCAATCTAGATAACCAAAAAAAAAAAAAAAAGAATTTGTTGGCCATACAAACATACAAATAGAGTTTTCTCAATGCATACCGATTTGTTAAGAGTTCTTCACGGTTTGCCACAGAGCCAAACATGATGGCTGAAATTAAATAAAGACATGTCGTGGAGGCAATGGCTAGCAAAGTTCCCACCGGTATAGAACGCTGTGTATCTCTCAGAGATGCAGAGCGATTGGAGCCAGCCATAATACCAGTAACTGCCGGGAAGAAAAGCCCCAGTAGGTCCCTGAAAAACAAAGAAGTCACGCAAAAGATAACGGCGTCCGACAAACAGAAACTAAAAGCATGCGATATAGAATTTGACGAAATAGAAAGAAAACGATTCATGCATTCCCTAGCAAACCAGATGAAAAACGCGACGACACATACTCAAAATTCCAGTATATGATACCATCTGGCGCAGGAATTCCAGCTCTGTTGGTACGCTGGTACTCGGGACCCCAGTTAGCATGGAGTGTTCTCCATCTGAGGCCCGTCACTCCCGCTGGACATCACAGATATTAGAACGGCTCAATAAACATTTGATTGCTTACATGGATCACCACGTCGAGGAGCAGCAAAGATACCAATAAAGATGAGGAAAACGGATAATAAAACTGGAATAAGAAAAGCCGGGGCCACTCTGTTGATGATCTTCACACCTCCAAAGACGATAAGACATAAGATAATTGTCACAATTACTCCATACACTTGAAGGTCATGCAAACTGGGACTTTTTAATATCTCAGGACTCGAGCCTGCTGCAGCTGGTGCTAGTTGTGTCACGCTTTCTGCACATGAAAAAATCAAGCAAGTTAAAAACACGCAAAAGAATAGAAAGGGAATTCTTGAGATTTACTAGCCTTGAAATATGCCGGCCCCAGGAAGAGCATCCAGAAAAGTTTCTACTGCACCTAAAATATACCTAAGAAGTGTCCAGTTATGATCGAACAATCAAGGACAGGGGAACACTTACAGTGATCCAGCAACCGCATTTCCAAGGAAAAAGCAAAGCCCAATACTAATACCGACTTCCGGACCAAGAGCTCGACCAATCAGATAATACGGTCCGCCACCCTATAAAGCAGTGCTTAACCAAAAGAAAAACTGTCGCAACGCAAAATTTCGAACCTTCATCGCGCCATTGGTGGCTATGGCGCTCAGCGAGATCCCAGTCAAGAATGTGCATAAGCAGCACAAAGAGACGAGCACCAAACTCTGTCCAATTCCAGCAAGGCCTACAATCCTGGATATCGTCACTGAATAGCATCACCAAATCTTAATACAACTCGGAGAAAACTTACCACGAAAAACGGATGTAGAAAATAATTCCTAGAATGTTTTGAAGACAAGGTACAAAGACTCCCATGAGTGTTCCAAGCTTTGCACCGCGAGGCTGAAAATTAATTTTTTTCAAGACAAGAACATGAGCGAACAGTGGATTTCGACGTACCCGAGGACGGCCAAGCGTGATAGCAATCTCTTCTCCAGCCCTGGGACTAAAAGCTTGTGGTGGCTGCTGGCCTCCCATACTGAGGTAAGACACTTGAGTTCTATAGGACATAGAAAAATTAGACGCCTTGCACATACCTTTTGAGCCCGACCACATCGACGAGCGAATCAATCTCGAAAAGCTCCAGCTTTGTTTCTCTCTCGGTTTGATCAAAAATCTCGTCAGTCGGAGACACCGGCCCATCATCTTGATCAAAGCGAGCATTTTGACTGGATCTGCCAGTATTGACCGGCCTGGTGGATGCGGATTGCGTGAATTCCAGAAAGTTTTCGCACAAGACTTACTTAATCCCCGCTGGTACTTCCAGATCCACGACATCGAGCTCGCCATTCGCTCGTGGCGATTCCCGCCGCCCGGTCGCATTGGCGTCGTCGGCGTCGCCGCCGCCCTTCTCCACTCCCATCGCCCCTGATCTAAACCCTCATTCGATCCCGGCCTGGAATGCGCCAATTTGGATCGAGATTACGCGTGAGCAGCTACCTGGATCGCCAGGGGCAGCAGCTGCGCCGCAAGATCCGACCGCGACAGCGACGCGACCGCGACACGGCGAGGTGCTCGTTCCTAGGGTTTAACAAACATCCCAGAGAAACATCCTAGGGCACGAACGGCACTGTACGGCCGGGTTGAATTTCAAAACCCGCGCGCCTAAAATGTTCTAAGGGCAGAGATCGCAAATGATTCTATTGCGAGATAGCGCATTGCCGAATTGGAGGCGTTAATCGCGTCATTCAAGCACGGCCTCTTGATCGTCGGAGATGAAGAAGTATAGCTTTTGGACACAATCGGGAAGAAAACGCGCTAGGGCAAGAGTCGAGGAGCGATCATCCAGATGATCACAAGCACCAACGGCGCTGTACGGCGTGACCCTTTCTCTTTGCAGAAACGCGCGCGCCTTTAAAACCATAAACGTGTGGGCATTGCTCTTCGCTAGGCTAAGATATGCGGTCTTCGCAGGGTAAAAGAGTGGCTCCTTTCATCTTGCTCGCCGCGATTTGCCTGGTTTTCCATGGAGTGGATCGCCTGTCGTCCCGGTTGCGATCAACGAGACTGGCCTTCTTCGTCCACAATCAGCAAGGGAATCCTCGCGCACACAAGCTTGCGGTATGCGCCGTTTCAGAAAAAAAAACATGATGGAATTCTCGTGTTCTTTCAGGATCCCCGGGTCGCAATTTGTCTTGTAGGTGGAGCCAGAGCCTTCGAGATCACTGGACCAAGCATAGTGGACCAAATCCTCCACGTCTACGGCAACAATTCGGATGTGTTCCTCCACGCGCCGCTGGACGAGAACACTTACAAGCTCTTCCTGCTGGGCAGGGGCGCTAGATCGAACAGAAATTCTTCGTCCTCGCGGTTGGCAGCAGCGCGGATCTTCGATCAAACACCCATGCCCGAGCTTGACTTTCGCAAGCAAGTCCTCACATCCGATGGGATTCAAGTAAGCTCTCGGTACTTTGTTTTTAGCTTTGGCCACCTTCTTTCCAAACTTTTCGTGACATCTCGCAGGGATTACTGCAATATTTCAATCTCGTCGAGGGCTGCTGGGATCTCATCACGAAACACGAACGTCGTCATGGTTTCCAGTACGATTGGATCATAAGAACAAGGCTGGATGGCTACTGGAGTGCCCCTATGCCGCCCATCTCCACCTTCGATGGCGCCCACTACACTATCCCATACGGCTCCCAATTCGGCGGCCTCAACGACAGGTTAGGCATCGGCACTCGCAACTCCAGCCGCATCGCTCTCCACCGCCTCCAATGCCTCGATCGCCTCCACGCAAACGGATTCCAGCGCCTAAATTCCGAGAGAGCATTCAAGGCGCAGCTCCAAATCACGCACACCAGCGTCCAGCTCAAGAAATTCCCCTTTTGCGTGGTGAGCGCGAAGAAGTACGATTGGCCACCCAGGGAATGGGGCGTGCCTGTGATGACCATGGCGAGCAAAGGACCTCTAAATGGAGCGAAGTGTCGTCCATGCCGGGCGAAGATCAGAGGAGAGGAAGCTCGTGCCATCACCGAGGCACTAAACAGGGGGTGGAGCTGGAGTGGACCTAACGAAGGGGTGGAGCTTTGCGATGCCACGGGGGACTGGGATGCTGACTGGGAGGCTGTCTATGACAACGTGGTTGGTCAGTGCAGTCAATTGGAGAGGTTGCGGGTGTCTCGCCTGGGGACGCTAGATGAGTGTGTGGAGAGATTGACCGAGTTTGAGAGAATGTGGGGTGAATGGGATGCTCCTTCTCCTGCTAGTATTTGTGAAAGGAAGTTTATGATTTGATCAAGCTTCTTTTTCTGGTGGAAGTGACTAAGATACGGAAAAATAGTATGATTAATGCTTTATTTCATAACCTTAGGATTTCATTACAAGTAACAAAAACAAGCAAATTGCATCATCACAATTGCATATAAGACATGGAACAAGACAATAATATGGAGGGCATATATCCACTGTTATTAAAGGATGTAAAACTCCATTTTTACAGAGCTTGCTTGCTAGCAAAATACTCAAGTTTCCATCTCTAGAACTTGTAACAAGAGTAAAAGTCATCAGAAAAAAACATTAAAATATATAGTGTTTAAATGGCAGTGCATAGAATATGGAAAAAGAATATAGAATCTCACTATCCTAATATTAGTATATGGCATCTTAGGTGTATACTTAATTATTTTGTAAAGGTTTATTCAATAGTAAATTAAACTTATAATTTATTTTCATATGTCATATGTAAAGTTTTATTTTTTGCTTTCAAAGTAACAAACAATACTGCTGATAATTTAGGAAAAAGGCCCCTTCCAACAACACAAATATAGAACAAAATATTTAGAGGATTTTGAAAAAAATGTTATTATTCCATCAACTTATTAGTTCTACCTTAAATTTTGACTAAATATGCAAGAGATTTATTGTACAAGGGTGTTCTCTTACACTCATATTACCATGTACTAAGTATGGAAAACAAAGCATTTATTTATTTGATATAAAATGAATTATGATTTATCTTTATTTGCTCGTAAAGGAAAAAAAATTAACATTGCTAAATACAAAAACTTATGATGTTTTTAAAGAAATAGCTATTTTATATTAGAAAAGGACATAAAAAAGATCAAGATAAAGTCTATAGCCAACTGTATTTACCAATGCTAGCCTTTTGTTTCTTTCCACTATATTACTATATAAGAGCTTGTCTGCTTGAAATTAATTCATTCAAGTCTTAAGAAATGGTGTTTTCTACTCATATTATCTGTGTTTTCTTGATGATTTTTACTGTTGTTGCAAGTTCTAGAGATGCAACCCCAAGTATTATTCCAGCAAACAAGCTCCCTGAGGGTGGTGGAGTTTTACATCCTTTAACAGTGGGTTGCCAATGCTCTCCATATTATTGTCCTGATCCATATGGTGTTTGCAATTGTGACGGGAATTGTGCTTGCTTTTGTTACTTTTAACAAATATTCAAAGAACTAAAGGATTAATCACAAAATAATACTAATTTTTCATTTACAAAAGCTGTATCAATATTTCTGCATTATTTGTCAATTTGTATTAGAGCATCCCATTCACCCTACATTCTCTCAAACTCAATCAATCCAAACACTCACAACCTTTCTAGTTGACTAGCCATGTCCCATGTTGACTGCCTCTTAGTCCCCATCTCCAGCCCAGAGCTTGTATCCTCTAATTTTCGCTGGGCATGGATTCTCTGCTCAAGTTGAAGATAAACTCTTCTGAATGCAACATGTGTCCACAACCAAGAGGGAATGGTGCATTAAATGTTGGATCCTAGCGGTTTCAAGACTAGTAGAAGTCATGCAGAAAGGTGCTCAATTAGGCAAAGGCTTGATGCTGTTGGAGCCAATAATTTGGTAGGCCTTGAGTTTGGGGCTAAGGGCTATAGCATATGAGACATAACATTCTTTTTCTTTTTCATAGTTTCCAGGATAAATTAAACTGCCTTCAGCTTCACTAGGCTACTATGTATCCAATGCCACAATCGAAACACTTCCCCAATTTAAGGTCCTCTATTCGTTTTGCCTTCTCCTGGGGTGTCATCTCTTTCCACATTGATTGTACAGCAGTGAAATAGTGTCTCTCATGTTAAAGTATAAGTAACAGACATAAACGCTATTGCAAAACTGGTATAATAATGGGGCCTTTCAGCATCTTTTTGGCACCCAATTGGAGATATATAAGTAATGGTAATTATAATAGTAATTTTCCATTATTGCAGTTGTTTCCCCTTTCTTGCTAAAATCATCTATTTCTTCCAATGTGTATATAGTGGTAAGTTTGTTGTAAAAAAGCAACTTTGATTATTTTACAGTAAATAACTTTATGAAATGGACTTATGAAGTTGTTGTTCTCTTCATATAATCAACTTCAAATTCTCCTAGAAAATGTATGTATCAAGCTTTTGCAATGGCATATTTGATCTTCATTGCACTCAGAGCATGTTCCCCACCAAAGGATTTGGAGAGCTACTAGAAGATCCACAGTGATGTTGAAGCTCTTTGTCACTAGTGAATGCCTTTGCAAAATGCCAGGGAATGGGGCGTGCCTGTGATGACCATGGTGAGCAAAGGACCTCTAAATGGAGCGAAGTGTCGTCCATGCCGGGCGAAGATCAGAGGAGAGGAAGGTCGCACCATCGCCGAGACGCTAAACAGGGGGTGGAGCTGGAGTGGACCCAACGAAGGGGTGGAGCTTTGTGATGCCACGGGGGACTGGGATGCTGACTGGGAGGCTGTCTATGACAACGTGGTTGGTCAGCGCGGTCAATTGGAGAGGTTGCGGGTGTGTCACCTGGGAACTCTAGACGAGTGTGTGGAGAGATTGACCGAGTTTGAGAGAATGTGGGGTGAATGGGATGCTCCTTCTCTTGCTAGTATTTGTGAAAGGAAGTTTATGATTTGATTAGAATGATATCTTATTTACAAGCTTCTTTTTCTGGTGGAAGTGACTAAGATACGGAAAAATAGTATGATTAATGCTTTATTTCATAACCTTAGGATTTCGTTACAAGTAACAAAAACAAGCAAATTGCATCATCACAATTGCATATAAGACATGGAACAAGACAATAATATGGAGGGCATATAGCCACTGTTATTAAAGGATGTAAAACTCCATTTTTACAGAGCTTGCTTGCTAGCAAAATGCTCAAGTTTCCATCTCTAGAACTTGTAGCAAGAGTAAAAATCATCAGAAAAAAACATTAAAATATATAGTGTTTAAATGGCTCTATGAGTGCATAGAATATGCAAAGAGAATATATAATTTCATTATGCTAATATTAGTATATGGCATCTTAGGTGTATACTTGGACCTCACAGCTTTAATTATTTTGTAAAAGGTTTATTTAATAGTAAATTAAGCTTATAATTTATTTTCATATGTCATATGTAAAGTTTTATTTTTTGCTTTCAAAGTAACAAATAATACTGCTGATAATTTGGGAAAAAGGCCGCTTCCAACAACACAAATATAGAACAAAATATTTAGAGGATTTTAAAAAAAAAATTATTATTCCATCAACTTATTAGTTCTACCTTAAATTTTTTGACTAAATGTGCAAGAGATTTAT